CATAGTCTAGTCATAGTCTAGTCATAGTCTAGTCATAGTCTAGTCATAGTCTAGTCATAGTCTAGTCATAGTCTAGTCATAGTCTAGTCATAGTCTAGTCATAGTCTAGTCATAGTCTAGTCATAGTCTAGTCATAGTCTAGTCATAGTCTAGTCATAGTCTAGTCATAGTCTAGTCATAGTCTAGTCATAGTCTAGTCATAGTCTAGTCATAGTCTAGTCATAGTCTAGTCATAGTCCATTCATATTCTAGTCATAGTAGAGTCATAGCCACATTTCAGTTAATAGTTTACTAAAACTAAAATATATAAAAGGAACTATTCTTATCAGTATTACACCGGTTTCTATTTAGCGAATGACGTCAATGACATACATTTTAAATGTTTAATATGACAAAAACGCCAAGAATAAATTGGAAGTGTTAACGAAAGTATGTGCTGTCATATGAAGTCATATGTTTTGTTTCCTTATATTCCTTTAAAGTTATGAAGCTCGTGATTTCTGTTTGCGTGTATTACGTTGGAAGAGGGAAAAGTTTACTAGATTTTACGATTTCCAAAAGTTAAACACCTTTGGTAAAACAGAATTTATGACCTGAAACATGCTTCAAAAAAATGCTTTTGTGTATAAAACGTGCTGCACAATTTAAAAGTTTTACTTTGGTACAAAAATGCGTGTTTTACACTGGAAATAAGGTGGCACGTTTTGAATTTTGGAAACGATTGATTTTTATTTTGTATACTCTTACTCCAATTATCTAACTTTGTTCACGATGTATGTAAATACCGTCTTTATATCACATTAAAATGTTCTTTATTTCTTTTATTATGTAATAATTTATTTTAATTAGTGTTTTCAGCACATATTTTATAATTAAATTAAATTAGAGTTTAAACAGAAAACAGTGTTTCTAGTTAAGTTCACAATATAGTTTATTGTTTAGTTCACAGTCTTTATCTTATTATATTTAATAACTAATTTCGTAATATATCATTTAAGTCTTTAACCAGCTAAGCTAATTTACTTAAGTTTAAAGCAAAAGTAATAAAATTGTTTTCTTTTTCTACGAAAAACCTTAACGCATTAAACTAAAATTGTGTTGAATTGCTTAACGATTTCATAAGAGTACGGAATTGTTTATTGGTACAAAATTGAGACACATATTAGGAAATAATTTAATTTGTGGCTTCAGCAAAATCTTATTAAGACTAATAAAACATACTTTAAAGAATATTTTAATAAATTTTAATTATTCTTTAAAAAGAGGAAAAACTTAATTTTTAATGCATGGTAGTATGAGTGATATTTAATTATTCATAGCACTCATACGCCCAATTCATATAATAATTTTAAAATGCTGTAAAATAAAACTAGTCCTATGACTAGACTATGACTAGACTATGACTAGACTATGACTAGACTATGACTAGACTATGACTAGACTATGACTAGACTATGACTAGACTATGACTAGACTATGACTAGACTATGACTAGACTATGACTAGACTATGACTAGACTATGACTAGACTATGACTAGACTATGACTAGACTATGACTAGACTATGACTAGACTATGACTAGACTATGACTAGACTATGACTAGACTATGACTAGACTATGACTAGACTATGACTAGACTATGACTAGACTATGACTAGACTATGACTAGACTATGACTAGACTATGCTAGACTATGGCTAGACTATGACTAGACTATGACTAGACTATGACTAGACTATAGACTATGACTAGACTATGACTAGACTATGACTAGACTATGACTAGACTATGACTAGACTATGACTAGACTATGACTAGACTATGACTAGACTATGACTAGACTATGACTAGACTATGACTAGACTATGACTAGACTATGACTAGACTATGACTAGACTATGAGACTATGACTATGACTATGACTAGACTATGACTATGACTAGACTATGACTAGACTATGACTATGACTATGACTATGACTAGACTATGACTAGACTAGACTATGACTAGACTATGACTAGACTATGACTAGACTATGACTAGACTATGACTAGACTATGACTAGACTATGACTAGACTATGACTAGACTATGACTAGACTATGACTAGACTATGACTAGACTATGACTAGACTATGACTAGACTATGACTAGACTATGACTAGACTATGACTAGACTATGACTAGACTATGACTAGACTATGACTAGACTATGACTAGACTATGACTAGACTATGACTAGACTATGACTAGACTAGACTATGACTAGACTATGACTAGACTATGACTAGACTAGACTATGACTAGACTATGACTAGACTATGACTTGTAACGAACCATTTCCCGACGAGCCTTATCATTCAAAGGAGAGTGCTACTAATCAGTCCGGCCGTGCTCAGGGATAATGGGGGGGATCTTTTCCTCTGATAAGATAAGGCGGTTCATTATCTCAAAAATAAAAAAAAAATATAGTAGCAAACAAACCCTAGAAACGACTATAACAATTTCGAGAGAGAGAAAAATCCTAAATAGTGATGAATGTAAATGAGTCCTGGTTCGGAATAAGTATTAGCTGAAATTCTACTCACTCCTCTCTTAACCCACCCTTAACCTATGCTATTCAAAATAAATTCCATGAATAGCCCAATTTACTTTTCTAACTAAACAGGTCTACATTTTTCGCGAATTAATTAAATAAATTAGAAATCCATATTAAAGAAATATTTAATTCAAAGTAAGAAATGTATATGTCATTATATATTAAAATTTTCAATAACAAAATTCATAATCTAATAACAATAAAGCAAGAAATTGAATTTAAAGAAAGTGAAAAATAAATCTAATGTCAAACAAAATTTGAAACATTTATTTAAAAGTTAAAATTATGTAAATAAAAAAAAAAAATCTAAGAATTAAAAAAAAAATTACAATATTCTGATAAAAATTTAATCTATTAAAGTAACTCATTAGAAGGGAAAATGGTGTATTTAGTGTTCAATTTAATGTTGAATTATCATGTCAATAGCATAATATTTATAATTGATCAAGTATATATATTTAATTTATTTATTTTTTTTTTTTTTTTCTAAGTCAAATTTAAAATCATCATATATATATTTTAATAATATCTTTTATTAAACTCACCACTTATAGGTTCCCACGATGACTGCAGGCCTGTAGTCTTGATCTTATGGGGTTTTCTTATTGTAAAATTTCAGTTATTATATATATGGGCGCAGATATTTGACTTCGATTTACTATATATGTACTTGTTTTCAATTATGGGGTTAAAATCATGGTAGTGTAAAACATGTAGATGTGCTTGTGATGTAAATATGTCAGTGTGAATGTGTTATTAATGTTAGTGTCCCTTTTACAAATTCATTTTTTTTTTTTCTTTAAATTATGTTAAATATTAAATTATGTGTAAAAAAAATTAAAATTGTTTATATTAAATTATGTTTTATATTAAATTTGCTTCAAAATTTGGCTTAACTTTCATTTTCTTCATTTGTCATTGTCTTGATGCGTCCAAAAGAATGTTATTATTGATTTTAGACCATCGTTGCACTTCTTAGATAAAATTTTAGCAGATATAATTCACAAAACAGTTGCCAGGTTGCAGTTAAAATAATAAGTCCATGGAAGGCTCAATATTTTATATTGTCACAAAATTTACAAAGCAGCAAAATAATTATTAGCACATCTATCTCATACGTCTGAAACTAGATTAGATGTTGTGGTTTGCTTGTCTAGCTGCTGACCCTGGTCCAAAAGTTAAGTGATAAATTATTCTTATCAATTCGTCACAATAGCCCAAGGAAAAATTTGAAAGGATCTCCTGTCTTGGCTCTTCTCGTAAAAATTTTAAAATTTTCCTTTTTTTTGTTCTCCTTTTCTCAATTTATAATTTCAAAAAAAAATTTTATTTTCAAATAATTTTTTTTTTTTTTTTTTTATTTTACGTCTTTATCAAACAAATAAATTTTCAAAAGTCTCTTTATTTTTCATTTTATCTGACAACCAAAACAAAACCATACTCTGATCAAAATATAAAATTAAAATTATTTTCCAACAAAGTAAAATGAACAAGAGTATACTTCTCAAATTAAAGTCGCACGGCCTCACAGACTAGACTATGACTAGACTATGACTAGACTATGACTAGACTATGACTAGACTATGACTAGACTATGACTAGACTATGACTAGACTATGACTAGACTATGACTAGACTATGACTAGACTATGACTAGACTATGACTAGACTATGACTAGACTATGACTAGACTATGACTAGACTATGACTAGACTATGACTAGACTATGACTAGACTATGACTAGACTATGACTAGACTATGACTAGACTATGACTAGACTATGACTAGACTATGACTAGACTATGACTAGACTATGACTAGACTATGACTAGACTATGACTAGACTATGACTAGACTATGACTAGACTATGACTAGACTATGACTAGACTATGACTAGACTATGACTAGACTATGACTAGACTATGACTAGACTATGACTAGACTATGACTAGACTATGACTAGACTATGACTAGCTATGACTAGACTATGACTAGACTATGACTAGACTATGACTAGACTATGACTAGACTATGACTAGACTATGACTAGACTATGACTAGACTATGACTAGACTATGACTAGACTATGACTAGACTATGACTAGACTATGACTAGACTATGACTAGACTATGACTAGACTATGACTAGACTATGACTAGACTCTGACTAGACTATGACTAGACTATGACTAGACTATGACTAGACTATGACTAGACTATGACTAGACTATGACTAGACTATAGACTATGACTAGACTATGACTAGACTATGACTAGACTATGACTAGACTATGACTAGACTATGACTAGACTATGACTAGACTATGACTAGACTATGACTAGACTATGACTAGACTATGACTAGACTATGACTAGACTATGACTAGACTATGACTATCAGAGTATGACTATAAAATCTGCCTTGTTGTTATTGTTATTTATTTTCCTTTGATTTTATTGTCTTTCTTATATTGCTTGTAGCAACTTGTTGCTTCAAAATTTTGCGTAGAAATTGTAACAAATGACTTTCTGTCAGCAAATGTGTTGTCATGCCATTAGTATTTGTATAGCAGACATAACAACATATTATTAAAGGACACAGACATAGACAACAAATAATCATGCATATTTATAAGGACAATTTTAGCATAAAATCCTGTTTTTGTTGAGACAAATTAAAAGTTAAATTTTAGAAATGTTTGAGAATATAAAGTGGATTTATATACATATGACCAAAAATCATTAAATTGAAGCCATGAATATATGTTTGCGTATTGGTGGTTTTTAGTTTGAAATTTAAGACAAAATTGTAAAGTAAGAAAAACAAAAAGACGGAATGTATACGTTACTAATTATAAATTAATTTGTGGTTGTTTAACGGTCATTAAGTCATGTTATAACATGTAGTTAGTGCACACAGGATATAATTAATAAATTGTATAATCATGGTTGAGTAACTTGATGTATTTTGAATGAAGTTTTTGTAGTTGTATGTTTTGTATACAATTCATAATTGAAATGCGAATGACGTGATTTGCCTACAAAATAATCTTCACACAATTTATACATTTAATTCGAATTTTTTTAATAACAATCATACGTCTTGTAGTTCATTATGTTTATTTTACAGAATTTTTTGAAGAGATGATTATTTTTTATACAAATATTTTAAAACAAGATTTTGTATTTATCTTGGTATTTATAACAATTATTTACACAAGTTGTCCAAGTTCTTTTTTTAATTTTTAAAATCTTTTTGAATTGAAATTAAACAACTTACCTGTCATGTTGTTCTGTTTTATGTTGCTGCTCTTTTTGTGTGGTTTGTGTTTGAAGTTGTTGCTGCTGTGACTGTTTTTCCTGTTCTTTTTCCATTTCAGGTTCATTTTTCTTTTCTTTATCCTTGTCACTAATTTTATCCTTGTTTTCTGTCATGTTGGTCTGATGGTTTTTCTTGAAATGTTTTATTGTTTTTAGGAAATAAATGATTTTTTGTTTGGTTTTTATTATTTTAATTATTATTGTTATTATTAAGTATTTTGCATTGTGGTTTTTTGTTTTCCATTTATATTTTAATTGTTATTTCTATTTTATTTTTTTAGAGTTTTACCAATGAATTTAACAAGAATTTTTTTTAAATTTTTAAGAATGAGTTGCTTTTTCGCTTAATATTTACATAAGTATTTATTTACTCATTATTCTAAATATTGTTCTTACTGAATTTTACAGAGAATATAATATTTGTCAATTATAGTTCGATCGATAGATTCCAGCATATGTACATATGTTTATAGGCATTATTTTACTCTATGATCTTAATTATATTAAAAACAATAACACATGCCGTCAAAATTTGAAAAAAGTCTAAAGCCTGAGACCATTTAATACTTTTCTAAAGGACTGAGCCACGCTGAATCCGAATCTGATTCAGGTTTTCTCCATCACATCTAAGATTCGAGATATCGTGTCCTGATATTTTAAAGACAACCTTATTTATAAAATGTTCTGTATGATATAAAAGTCCGTTCTGACAGCTTTAAAATAAAGGCTTAACATCTGACATATCTTCCTTCTCCTTCGAGATATATAAACCGAAAAAACACAGGGCTTTCAGTATATTCATGCTATTTATAACCTACTATACTACAGAGAGAAGGATATTATGCTTTGTAAATATTGTTTATGACAAGAAAAAATAGTGGATCTACACCCACCTGTGGGATGTATCAATCGACTGAAAAACACTTTCTTATTCGATTTGAAGATGTCTGTCCATGCGTCAACATCAACGGATGATATCTCAACAACTATTTTTATAGATAAAATTTTTCAAAATTGCAATATATAAGTTTTCTGTTAAATATAGGCGAAATGTACGAAACAAATTCAGATTTTGTCAATTTATTGATGTATCAAGCTTTATGTGCTGATATCTCGAAGAATAAGGAAGATATGTCAGATGTTTATTTTAACTCTGGCAGAATACTTTGGTCTTTGGGCTAAAAATTTGTCGGCCTGTGTAATTATTAAGAATTTAAATTCTTTAAAAGTATTTGTTGACCCAACTCTGTTATTAATATTAATCATGCGTCCTGTAGTGTAAAACTTAAAACCAAGTTTTTCTGTTCTCTTAAAACCCAAAGCATGAAAACAAACTAGACGGTCCTATAAATGCGACTATAGTTAGTTAGTAGTTAGTTAGTTAGTGAGTTAGTTAGTTATTTAGTAGTTAGTAGTAGTTAGTTAGTTAGTTAGTTAGTTAGTTAGTTGTAGTTAGTTAGTTAGTTAGTTAGTTAGTTAGTTAGTTAGTTAGTTAGTTAGTTAGTTAGTTAGTTAGTTAGTTAGTAGTTAGTTAGTTAGTTAGTAGTTAGTTAGTTAGTTAGTTAGTTAGTAGTTAGTTAGTTAGTAGTTAGTTAGTTAGTTAGTTAGTTAGTTAGTTAGTTAGTTAGTTAGTTAGTTAGTTAGTTATTTAGTTAGTTAGTTAGTAGTTAGTTAGTTAGTTAGTTAGTAGTTAGTTAGTTAGTTAGTTAGTTAGTTAGTTAGTTAGTTAGTTAGTTAGTTAGTTAGTTAGTTAGTTAGTTAGTTAGTTATTTATTAGTTAGTAGTTAGTTAGTTAGTTAGTTAGTTAGTAAGTTAGTTAGTTAGTTAGTTAGTAGTAGTTAGTTAGTTAGTTATTTAGTTAGTTAGTTAGTTAGTTAGTTAGTTAGTTAGTTAGTTAGTTAGTTAGTTAGTAGTTAGTAGTTAGTTAGTTAGTTAGTTAGTTAGTTAGTTAGTTAGTTAGTTAGTTAGTTAGTTAGTTAGTTAGTTAGTTAGTTAGTTAGTTAGTTAGTTAGTTAGTTAGTTAGTTAGTTAGTTAGTTAGTTAGTTAGTTAGTTAGTTAGTAGTTAGTTAGTTAGTTAGTTAGTAGTTAGTTAGTTAGTTAGTTAGTTAGTTAGTTAGTTAGTAGTTAGTAGTTAGTTAGTTAGTTAGTTAGTTAGTTAGTTAGTTAGTTAGTTAGTTAGTTAGTTAGTTAGTTAGTTAGTTAGTTAGTTAGTTAGTTAGTTAGTTAGTTAGTTAGTTAGTTAGTTAGTTAGTTAGTTAGTTAGTTAGTTAGTTAGTTAGTTAGTTAGTTAGTTAGTTAGTTAGTTAGTTAGTTAGTTAGTTAGTTAGTAGTTAGTTAGTTAGTTAGTTAGTTAGTTAGTTAGTTAGTTAGTTAGTTAGTTAGTTAGTTAGTTAGTTAGTTAGTTAGTTAGTTAGTTAGTAGTTAGTTAGTTAGTTAGTTAGTAGTTAGTTAGTTAGTTAGTTAGTTAGTTAGTTAGTTAGTTAGTTAGTTAGTTAGTTAGTTAGTTAGTTAGTTAGTTAGTTAGTTAGTTAGTTAGTAGTTAGTTAGTTAGTTAGTTAGTTAGTTAGTTAGTAGTTAGTTAGTTAGTAGTTAGTTAGTTAGTTAGTTAGTTAGTTAGTTAGTTAGTTAGTTACTTTTATTGTTATTGAACCACAATTAAATTAAGTTTATCTCAAACTCCTTTCGCCATTTTAATTTTATTGAAAATTTTCTATATTTTTATTTCCAAATGCTTTTCAATACTAAATACTTATATGGTAATATCACGCAATAGTACAGCATATTTCAAGGCTCCTATCTTTCCTTTCATTCCCAACTACAATATTTAACAAAGTTCAATAACAGAACAGTCTGTTGACAAGTTTATTTGTATTAGAAAACAATTCAAGGCTAATGACATTTAGACAAAAACACACGTTTACATAAAATCCACTTTCCCAGCAGTTCTGGGTGTATTCCAGAACTTCTAATATTTATTATCTCTTATCTCATCTCAATGTTTGGACAAGTTTTGCTCAGAATTTTGTTTATTCATTATTGTGTAATATGAAGAAACCAAATGTCTACCCTTTACATAATATTCCAAACTAATATGAAAAGGCAGAATAGCAAAACATATGATTAATTAAAAAATGTATATTTTACTATAAGTTGCTGGTTTTATACGTGAATTGAATAGTGAGGGGCTAATTAATTTGTAATTGGATTGGATTAATGGTGATTTAAATGTGAAAATATATATCCATATGTTTAATTAAAGAAAATTTTATCCGTAATGGTTTAAAACTTCTAATTAAATTTGTATTTTTTAATGATTATTTAAGTTCTTTATAATAAAATGTCTTATTTTATCAGAAGTCTCTATAATAAAATATCTATTATTGCAGTTTATTGTATAATCCTTTAAAATATTTCAAATAATATTTTTGTACAATTATTTTTGCAGCATTTAAACTTGCAAATGTTTTGGTATCACAGCAATTTGCAAGTGAGTGTTAATAATTGTCAGTTATATAAAAGTTTAAATTAACACAATACTGATACTAGTAATTATAATTATTAAGAGGACATATGTTAACGATATTGTTCAACTGTTTTTAAATAACATATGAACTACGAATGGCAACCAAATTTTGAATTTAATAATTTTTACAATTTTTGGCGAATTTTACAGAAATGAATCCATCATAATATACACGAGTTCCAATATCCTCTTTTGTTGTTTTTTTCGAAAATATTTCAACAAAAATAACAAAACCATTGAGGAAACAACAATTTGCTCTGCATATTATTAAAATAACAAAAACATGCAAAAATATACATACATGTGTATCTTCATATATTAAGTAAACAAAAAAAATCCTGCTTGAGAGAGATGAAGGGCGACGAAAAAAATATATACTCACTAAATAAGTCCCTTTTTACAATACAAACAGACATATGATAATGTTTGTTTACACATATTCAACCACGCGCCTAAAAGCATTAAAAAACTTTACCACAAGTAGAGTGAGAGCAAATTGTAAATTGTTAAAATTTAATAAGAAAATTTTAAAACTGATTAAGCAGGAATTAAATATCTTTAAGCTAAAATTAGTTATTTAAATAAATTCTTCACAATTGTATGAAATACGAACTAGCATCTAAAAGAGATTCCAAAGATGAACTGGAACTGAACTAGAACTGAACAAGAAAAGAACTAGAACAGAACTAGAACAGAACTAGAAAAAAACTAGAACAGAACTAGAACAGAACTAGAACAGAACTAGAACAGAACTAGAACAGAACTAGAACAGAACTAGAACAGAACTAGAACAGAGAGTTTAAACCGCGTGACCACATATGTCCGATAAATTCTGAATTCTTTAATCAACTTATTTGTTGGCAAGTTGTTTGTATATTTTGTCCATTATTGTACTTTTACTTTAATATTGTTTTGCTTCACTTCAATCTCTTGTTGCTTTATTATTTTTGTGATGTTTCTTTTTGTATTGTTTTATTTATGGACAAGGAGTTTTATGTTTATTTCTTTTGTAGCCATTTTAATGAAATTTTGTCCTTCATTTAATAATGGGTGGACTTGTCGATATTACTTTTCTTACAGAAGTAAGTATTAGTTTAGTATTACATTTTGAATTATATTTTTACGCATTAACATGATGTTTTTTACTTTATGTATAATAATTGATATGAGCTCTTGGTGTTTTAAGGATTTATGTTTTGCCACTCTTTACCATGAAGATTTGCCGTTTGGTTTGTAAAAGTCAATATTTTGCCATTAAACTCTAGATACTTTTAGTTTTTGTACCTTTCGAAATGATTTTCACTCATTGTTATAAAAGTGTAAACTACAACATAACGGATGTAAGTCAGACACTAATCTGACACCCAGTAAATATAATTTAAAATATACTTCCATTGGATTGCAGCTTCTAAGCATGAGTAAGTAAAACATATTTAAGATAAAAATTTGCTGAAAGTGTTATTAGAACTTATTAACTGAACGCTTGGGCTAAGAATTAAATTAGTTTGACTGCAGCATTACGTCCGAAACCAAACTTATTTTACTAATTTTCCTTAAACAGCAAAAAACATTCGCTAAAACTACAGGCAGACTAGTGCAGGCGTATGAGTACAATTTGATACGTATACGTATGAGTGATATTTGAAAATCAAATAGTACTCATACGCCTGCTGTAGACTGCAATAAAATACTCCTTTGATTAAAAATACCTTTAAACTGAAGATA